AGAAGTGTCCGAATGCATTTATCTATTCAAGCGTCATCGTGCTTTCAAGGGTGGTGGTGGATTCCCCAACCAGTGCCCGTCTAGCCCGTTCTAGACAACCGGGGTGATTCTATAGTGGTGCCCATTTTCAAAAAGAGTACTCGCAGTGAATCAAGCAACCAGAGTTGTTAGCCTGACGCCTGTTGTGACAAGGCTCCTGGCGTCCTTGACCCTACGACGTCTTATGGCGGCACACGAAGTCTTGACTCGTGAGAATCACGCAGAATTTCGACCGGGTAGAGGCTGCGATGACCACACATTCACACTCCGTCAGATGTTAGATCAAAGCCAAATACGACCCACAATCCTGATGCGTTCAATTCTGTTGATCGATCTGATAACTAAACTACACTTGCTCAACACGGTATGCCTCAGAATTTTCTAAAATTAAGCCGCTCCCTATATTCACATACTTCTGGGCGGGTGATGGTGTATGGTGAATTGTCCAAAAGCTCTCGTTCAAAAAGTGGTGTCAGACAACGATGTCCACTCTCCGCAGTCTTTTTCAAATCCGTCATCGATGGAATATTGAGGTGAACACTGGACGGCTTTCGAAACCCCGCTGTTCAAATGGTTCCAGGCGAGAGCCTTATCGAGCTAAGGTGCACAGATGACATCGCCCACAACTCTGAAGACCATAGCGAAGCACAATCCGTGTTGAATAAACTGACCGTCATCATACTATCTTTTGGCATGCGACTTTCATCTTCAAAGCGTAAAGTCTTGCTTGAGAACATGCATCTGCCAACCATATCTGTTATATCTACTGATTCGTCAATCTGTGGTATCTGGTGCTGACCCGCTCCAGTGCCTAGTGTCGGAGAGTGAAGACTCACAGAAGGGAACACAACAAATGTATTCCGAACGAGCGAGTGAGTGAGAGAGCAAAAGTTACAATGGTCCCACGGTCCCACGCTATTTAAAGGGGACTTTCTGACATTGATCCAGGCTGTCTGATAGGCGTTAGTGAACAACCATCAACATCGATCGTGGTTCTGTGAAAGGCCTGAACGCTGATCACATTCGGTCGTGCTTCTGTGGCGCGCAAGAACACTCATCAGGTTTTGCTGAATTGATTGAATGATTGACTAGCCTGGATGCTTGCCGGCTTTCCAGTTGAGTTTTGGTGGAGCAGTAGTTTCCGGGTGCTCTGAAGTTGCTTGCAGGAATCTGACCAATCTGATACCCCCCTTTTGACTGTTCAACGTAACATTTTCGAGGCGGATCAAGTTGTAGGTGTTCCACCCTTTTTTTGATGCGACCAGTACGGCGTCTTTGTTGCAGCAACGGATCTGTCTTGAGCGGTACATGTGAAGAAGTGGCTGTAGGTGCTGGGCTTAGGAGATCAAAGGGTTCAGGCGGTAGGTTGGGGTCTAGTAACTGTTCTTCC